AGTAGTAGTAGTAGTAGTAGTAGTAGTAGTAGTAGTAGTAGTAGTAGTAGTAGTAGTAGTAGTAGTAGTAGTAGTAGTAGTAGTAGTAGTAGTAGTAGTAGTAGTAGTAGTAGTAGTAGTAGTAGTAGTAGTAGTAGTAGTAGTAGTAGTAGTAGTAGTAGTAGTAGTAGTAGTAGTAGTAGTAGTAGTAGTAGTAGTAGTAGTAGTAGTAGTAGTAGTAGTAGTAGTAGTAGTAGTAGTAGTAGTAGTAGTAGTAGTAGTAGTAGTAGTAGTAGTAGTAGTAGTAGTAGTAGTAGTAGTAGTAGTAGTAGTAGTAGTAGTAGTAGTAGTAGTAGTAGTAGTAGTAGTAGTAGTAGTAGTAGTAGTAGTAGTAGTAGTAGTAGTAGTAGTAGTAGTAGTAGTAGTAGTAGTAGTAGTAGTAGTAGTAGTAGTAGTAGTAGTAGTAGTAGTAGTAGTAGTAGTAGTAGTAGTAGTAGTAGTAGTAGTAGTAGTAGTAGTAGTAGTAGTAGTAGTAGTAGTCGCAGTAGCAGGGTCCTTCGGGGCTTTGCTTTAGAGTCAGTGTGGCAGCAGGGTCCTTCCGGGCTCTGCTTTAGACGTAGTGTAGCAGTAGGGCAGGGTCCTTCGGGGCTCTGCTTTAAGCTTCGTGTAGCAGTAGGGTCCTTCGGGGCTCTGCTTTAGACTTGCAGCAGGGTCCTTCGGGCTCTGCTTTAGGCTTCGTGTCGCAGTAGGGTCCTTCGGGGCTCTGCCTTAGTCTTCGTGTAGCAGTAGGGTCCTTCGGGGCCCTGCTTTAGATTTAGTGCAGCAGCAGGGTCCTTCGGGGCTCTGCTTTAGGCTTCGTGTAGCAGTAGGGTCCTTCGGGGCTCTGCCTTAGTCTTCGTGTAGCAGTAGGGTCCTTCGGGGCCCTGCTTTAGACTTAGTGCAGCAGCAGGGTCCTTCGGGGCTGCTTTAAGCTTCGTGTAGCAGTAGGGTTCTTCGAGGCTCTGCTTTAGACTTGCAGCAGGGTCCTTCGGGGCTCTGCTTTAGGCTTTGTGTAGCAGCAGGGTCCTTCGGCTGCGACTGCTGCGTATGTCTGCTTGTAGCCGCTGCAGCTCCTTTGTGCGTGCCCGCGTGACCAGGACGCGTCCAGCCGCGAGACCCGGCGATGTGCCGCAGGACGAGCGTCTCAACGGTCGAGTGAGCGGCGATAAAACGCTGCCAGCAGCGCGGGGGCAGACGCCGACAGAGCTTGTACTTGTTGAGTACATGCTGGATGGCCGTCCGCCGCTGCGCTATGTGCACGGCTTACGGGCCTCTTGTCCTGACATCGCAATCGGCCAAGCCGTGCGGTTTAGTCTTGGTCGTCGGTGGGACCGGCGGGAGGAGCACTTCTTCCCGACCGCTACAGATATCGTACTGGACAGCTGCTGACTGTAGCGGTCGGCGCGTCTTCTTGTCTTCCTTTCAGTGTGACGGCTGCCCCGCGTGACAAATCCAACTCACATGCCTGCGTTGCGGGCGCTGCCCGATTTAACTTCACGTCTTCTGCCTTGTCGAGCCACTCAGCAAAGCCGTTTCCCTCCGTGCTCCCCTCGCCGGCGACTGCCGCGGCGTGAACTTTTGCGCGCTCCGCGCTAACCGCCAGCTTTACTGTGGCCTCCGCCTGTGCCGCTCCGGCCTTTTTTCCCTCCCGACGGCACCCCGCCTTGACGTGGCGGGAGGGCTCTAGTACCCTTTCGGAGGGGAAACCGGCACATTGTTTGGGAATTCCTGAGGTCCCTTTCAGGCCCCTTGAAACCCCGCTTGCGGCCCCCCCCTTCGCCTGCGACGAAGTGAGGAGAAGATTTCTCAGATTTGCCCCCCTCGTTGCTTGTCGTCGTCCTGCGAAGCCCGTAGAAAAAGAGAGAAACAAGGATTAGCCTAGATTTCCCCCCGAGGAGACTTGTAGCCCCTAGAAGAGGAAAGAGAAAGTGAATTGTTCTAAATTCCACCCTACATTCTCCTCCTCCCTTCTTTTTGGTCGTTCTGCGTAGCCTGTCGAAGAAAGGAGTCCCCCCCCCTCGTTCTTTGTCGTCCTGCGGTGCCTGGAGAAGGACAGAGAAGTCGAGAATTATCTTTCGAGCCGTCCTCCCGTAGAAGCAAGGAAAAAAATGTTCTAAAATCCATGCCTCCTTGCTTCTTGTCGTCCTACTCGAACTTTTCTGTTTTTTGTATTTCGTTCTTCGAAAAATCAGAGAAGAAGAGAGAGGGATTTTAGTTTAAATTCCACCCTCCTCGAATCTTGTTTTGTTTTTGTCTTTCATTGTTCGAGAATCAGAGGAGTGGAGACTTTTTGGAAGTAAAGAGCGGGGGGGGTTGGGGGGGGCGCAGCCCCCCCATTTACTTGTTGTAGGGAAGGGAACGTATTCTAAATTCCACCTCCGACTCTTTTTTGTTTTTTGTATTTCATTATTCGAAAAATCCGAGGAGAAGAGAGAAGGGATTTTAGTTTAAATTCCACCCCCCTGAAATCTTGTTTTGTTTTTGTTTTTCATTGTTCGAAAATCAGAGGTGTGGAGACTTTTTACGACGCAATGACGTACAGTAGCATGTTTTTGGCTTGAATATGTTTTTTTGTTGTGGCACGGGCTCGGCCAAGAACCCCATGTCTTGTAGCGGGAGGCTAGGGGAAGCGGCTTCGGCCTGCGAGTACCCGACGCCTCCCATCTGGAGCGCGTGTGGCAAGGGGCTAAGCCGAAGACCCCATGTTTTCTAGTGGAGGCTAGGGAGGCTGCAAGGGGGGGCTTCAAGGGGGGATCAGAGGAAGCTGCAAAGGGAGGTTTCAAGGGGGGCTCGAAAGGGGGGTTTGAGACGCGGGCGTAAACGGCGCGAAGAAGGCCCAGGTACTAGGCCTCTTAAACTGCTCCCGGAAACCCGTACAGGGAGCAGTTTAAGAGGCCTCATAACTGGGCCTGCTTCGCAGAGGTTTCAGGAAGCAGTTTAAGAGGCCTAATAACTGGGCCTTCTTCGCGAGGTTCCAGGGAGCAGTTTAAGAGGCCTGATAGCTGGGCCTGCTTCGCAGGGGTTTCAGGGAGCAGTTTAAAAGGCCTAATAACTGGGCCTTCTTCGCGAGGTTCCAGGGAGCAGTTTAAGAGGCCTAATATCTGGGCCTGCTTCGCAGGGGTTTCAGGGAGCAGTTTAAGAGGCCTAATAACTGGGCCTTCTTCGCGACGTTCCGGCAGCAGTTTGAGAGGCCCACTAACTGGGCCTTCTTCGCGAGGTTCCAGGGAGCAGTTCAAGCGGCCTAATAACTGGGCTTGCTTCGCACGGGTTGCAGGGAGCAGTTTACGAGGCCGAGCACCTGGGCCTTCTTCGCGACGTTTAGGCTCGCGTCTCAAACCTCCCCTTCAGGCCCTCCTTGAAGCCTCCCTGTGAAGCTTCCCTTGAAGCCCCCCCTTCAAGCCCCCCTTGAAGCCCCCCTTGAAGCCCCCCTTCAAGCCCCCCTTGAAGCCCCCCTTGAAGCCCCCCTTGAAGCCCCCCTTCAAGCCCCCCTTCAAGCCCCCCCCTTCAAGCCCCCCTTCAAGCCCCCCTTCAAGCCTTCGACCCTTCGCCCCCCCCCCCCCCCCCCTCCCCCCTTCACCCCCCCCTTCAAGCCCCCTTCAAGGGTCCGACCCTTCAGCCCCCCTTCAAGGGGGGCTTCAAGCCCCCCTTCAAGCCCCCCTTGGCGGGCCCAGCCCCCACCGCTTTCCATTCCTTGTGGCTTCTCAACTTCTACCTTCTTTCCTTCTTTTGTTAACTTTCTTGAGAATGCTTGGTTCTGGCTGAGGCTTACCAACAGTGTTCTGCAGACAGGTAATTGCGTCTATTTCCATGTCCGCCCAAAAATAACGACCTTTCCCTACTTTCTAACGTCTACCCTTGCTTAAAGCCCACCAAGCACAATTTTCTAAAACAAGTTTTACGTTGCGCTTGCCTTTGTGCAACCTAGACCCGGTCTTGTAGTGCGTTCTCCACCTTTCTCCGCCGCCTAGGGACAAATGGCGTTAAACGTCACGTCCGCAACAAGAACTTTGGACAAGAGAAGGCGACACCAAACAACTTCCAAGTCTACAACGTCTAATACCGGAATCTTCCCCCCCAAAGCGTTGCACAGAGTAACCTCTCTCTTTTTTCTCTTGACCACTCTAAAATCCGCTAAAGTGCAGAAGCTACCACCTTTCTGGGCAACCGCATTGCCATTACAGTCTGTGTCAACAATGCTTCCGCCTGAACTCTGGTTCTTCCATAGTCCGACGCGGTTCTTCTTCTTTTTCTTGCCCTTGTTCTACCTTTCTCTCTCTTTTTTACTCTTTTCTCTCTTGGAGTTGGACCTTCCCTTCGGCGTTGTAAACTGTCAGCAAAGCTGAAAGTTTGCAAAGAAGTTTCTGTTCTAGCACATCCAAGAAGAAGCTGCTATTTTTGGAACCGGTAAGAATCCGGTGGAACAGCAACCAAACCCTTTTGCTGCCTTTGAAGCTTTAGAAGTTCCGATTTCCACGTTTACAGCCACTGCTTCTGGTGGTTCTGTGGAACTTTGTGGTTGAAATGCTACAAGTGATGCAGCAACAGCAGAGACAGTAGAAAGCCATGATGGACCAGTACCGGGAAGGGAAAGCAGTTGAAGCAGAACCAGCTTGTAGCTACCATGATTTGTTGCATGGACAGTGAAGAACAGAAGGAACAATGCCAAACTTGCAGCTGCTAAAGCTAAAGCCAAGGCAGAAGCCGCGGCGGCATCTCCAACCGTGCCGACAAGTACCTAGCTACCTGTTGCAGCCCACCAGGAGATGGGTAGAGAAAGGCCTGTTCTTGGAAACGATAAGTTTTTGGTTGGCCTTGCAAGACGAGTCGATGTAAACAAGATTTGCCTTCGTGTCAAGGACAAGATCCGACAGGACCTTTTGCCTTCTGACACTGCAGCTTGGTTGGCAAAGTTGTTTTACCTGCTTTTGCAGAGCTTGGCGTGGGGTTTGGAGTAGCTTTGAAGGTGTAGCAAAAGGCAGAGCATGTCTGCTACAGGCTACGAGGCAGTTTGCACCTTGCACCTGAACTACTCCATTGTGTCTCGAATGGAAGCCGTCGACGTGAGAGACGGTTGCATGAAGTTGCATGCGCAATGTTCGGAACTCAAGAAGCCCATGGACATCATCAGACACTTGGAGGACGAAATCGCCAAGGCGGAGATCAAGTTGAGCAACTTTCCCCAGTTGAAGCTCTCCAAAGCAGATTGCTGTTCCATCCTGCTACAGGCCGTTTTGCATCCAGCAAGACAGTACGTGGCGCTGCACGGCAACGCCAACAGCTGGAGTGAGCTCACGAAGAGTCTCAAGTATTTTGAAGAACAGCTGAGGATGTGCGACGTGCCGACTGCAGCGAACCGTGGAATGGACGGCAAGCTTTGCGACCATTGCGGCAAGCATGGTCATGTGGCAAAGGATTGTTGGTCTTGACAGCGTGATGCTGGTAAAGGCGGCAAGGGCAGCAAAGGAGAGTCGAAGAGTGGAAAGGGCACCGGTGGCCCTAAAGGACAAAGGTCGCCCACTCCGAAGGGCACGCCTCGCTTTCTCTCTGGGAAAATTAGGTCGCTTGCGGCCGAGTTTGGAAAAACATAAAAGTTTTGGACAGAGCTTAGTCAGCTGTATGTCGCTTTTGTAGCTGACTGAAAAATCGGCTGCTCTTGTTTTAAATGCTCTGCGCTGGATTGAGGAAGCTATGCTTCAGTTATGTGCTTGTATTTTCAATGTGGGCAAAAGTTCCTCCACGTTTGCTTTCACATTTGAGATTGCTTGATGTTTCGTTCATGCTCAGAGCAACAATTGTGGAAGGAAATTTTGCCCACTCTCCCGGGTGTGTCTGCACCCGCGGAGCCTCTACCGCGTTCGGGTGCTGTGCCCTCAACTTGTTGGAACAACCCCCGCATGAGATCGGATTGGAAAGGAGAATCTACGCGTTTGCATTTATTGGGTGCATGTTTATTCTGACATGATCTCATATTCCTGAAGATTTGGGAAATTTTGGGAATGACCTTTCAGCTGATTTGCCCAAAAGTGTTTTGGATAAACCCCGACCTGAGCGAGTAACTGGTTTTCTCGGCATGATTGCTTATAATATCTAATGAGGGACTATACCTTTACATATCTTTTTCGTCATCAATCATAAAGGCTTTTTCAAATCTAATATAAAATGTTTTATTAATGTCCTGGCTGTTACAGTTTATGTAAAAGAAGCTATATGGAGCATCATTTACAGCCTGTTGATACATTTCATATAAGGTTGATTTATCCACGAGGGCATTATTCTCATCTAAAAAACCATTGACTTCCGTCATGTTTTTAAGTTTAAAAATATACAAAGAACTGGCATTTAGCCTACAAATTGGAGCCGTTGAGGAATACTTTTGCAAGGAGAGAATACAAGACACAGCTTGACGCCTTCCCCTAGTAAATAAACCATGTCGCATATTGGAATAACGGGAAATTTAGGATCATCACTATGGTCATCGATACAAACGCATAAACGAAAGAGGTTCTTATCTTTGTTTTTCTTCTGGTATTCAATTACCTTTTTCTGAGTGTCTAAAATCTTTTGCAAGTCAGAAGGATTGAACCCTTCAAAATATAGGTCTTCTTTGGTATCATCTACTTTCATTACTTCTTTTTGATATTTCTTGACTTCATAAAAAGTTGGATCCGAATGGATTGAAGGAGAGAAGATATAAATACGCTCAAACGAACCTCTATACACATTTAATAGAAGGTTCTGAATAAGGACACTTTTACCGCCTGTCGATGAGGCAACAATAATGGAACGAAAAGGAAGTTTTGGCACCATTTCATATTTTGACTGTTTATATTCATATTCCGGTATATTGATAGGCTTGACTATTGGTATATCCATTATTTAAGCAGAGAAAATTATATATCATTTAATATAATGGAGAAGTATTTAGAGACAATAAATGATATTGAGGAAATTGAGAAGATTGTAATACAAGACACAAAGCTTGAAAGGTGTTGCACCGCTTCTTTAGAATTGCTGAAGGCAGTTCTGGAGAAATTTCATCTTCCTCTGGAGAACCCGAGGTCCCAGGAGCTTCACCGCCCCTTAGACCGCTATCCCCAACGATAGAGGAAAATTCCCTTTCTACAGCACTATTTACACTACCCTGAGAAGCCTTGACAGACTCAGATGAGGACCTCGGCGTCATAGAACCCAGTTCAGGCATTGGGACAGAAACCTTGTTCTTCCCTTTTTCTTTTGCCGAAACAGTATCCTTCTCATCCGCTGTCACCTTTTCAGCAGTGTTCTCGAACCAGTGACGATGTCGTAGTAGTACGGCCGACCCATCGAAAAATGCATCTCCCAGACGGCGTCAATCTTAGGCGCCTCACTTCCCTTCAGGAAAGTGTCCGAAGCCAGCTGTAACTGCTCCAGTTGAGCCTGTTCTTCTGTTCTTCTTCATGCTCCTCCTGGATAACGGCTTCCAGCTCCAGAATCTCTTCCGGATGCATCTCAGCAACTTCCGAAAGTCCCTTCGACGCTTTGTCTTCAGAACCCATTGCAGAAATAAGGTCAACACCACCACCACCACTTGGTTCGTCAGTGATTTTGCTCTTGCTTTTTTCTAACAAAACCACCTCGCCACTCAGCTCAGTCTGAATTTCTTGACTGGCCATTCTTTGACTTGAAGACGAAGACGACGCCTGAAAACCATGCCTCTTCATCAAACGTAATACGGTCGCTTCTAACACATGGTCCATACCACCAGCTTCATCCCAGGGCCTCTTTTCTCCGGCCCTTGGTGGCACAGAAAAGGCTTGTCCTTCACCTTCACCATTGTCAATCCTGTCCACATTGGGACCCATACCCTCATTGGGGCTTCCAGCAACCATTGATCTTCCCAGCTGTTTCTCCGTAGCACCAGGCACCGTTGCTTCTAGCACCACTTCTTGAGCAGGAAAACCAGTTGCACCAATTTCAGCTCCACCATTGTCAGCGGCATTCGCAGGGGTTTGGAGCCATTGCTTGGATGAAGACATTGCTTCTTTAAACCAAGCCCTGAACGAAAACAACTTACCGCAGGGAACCGCTTGGGCTCATAACTTACGGGGGCAACCGAAAGGGGAAAAAGGAAGGATCTCAACCCTTGGTTGCCTGAATGAACTCCCCGAACCGAACCACACAACAAGAAGATTAAGGTTTACCAGAAGGAGAGGGAGAGCAGCCCCAGGCACACAAGCTTTTTGCGCGGACAGCACGTGGCCATCCTTGAGCCAAAACGTGCATGGGTGTTTTACCCTTTCAAACCTGCAAAGTGCAACCTCCGCACCCTAAACCCTAAACCCTAAACCCTAAACCCTAAACCCTAAACCCTAAACCCTAAACCCTAAACCCTAAACCCTAAACCCTAATATTGACTTCGCATTAATAAACTCCCCCCCCCCCCCCCCCCCCCCTTGATTGATCAATCTCTCCGGCCAGGGCCTCCTCAATTATATTCGCCTAAATCCTGGTAGGACGTACTATTAGTTTTAGTATTAGGTAGTAGTACCACTAAAATATTCCGGGCTGGATTTTATAATTGTGGGGGGTTACATTATTGTGTTCCGGCAGCTGGATTTTATAATTGTAGCGGAAATCATTAATGTGAAGTCAACATTAAACCCTAAACCTTAAACCTTAAACCCTAAACCCTAAACCCTAAAACCCTAAAACCCTAAATCCTAGACCCTAAACCCAATCCCAAACGGGCACCTTCAGCCACCATCTGTGGTCATGCTTCTAGCACGGCAACACTTCACCTCCGGAGGCTGGGCTCATGCTCCCGCTGTTTCCTGCTGCTGGCTGTTTCAGTGAGGTCCTCAACTGTCGCATGGACATGTACCCAAAGAGCCCAATACCCCTTAATTAAGGAATATTCCTTAAATCGTATTCAGGATCCCTATATAAAGTAAGCAATATTCCCTAATTAAGGGATATCGGGCTCTTTGGGTATAGCCTCCTCGGAAGTTTCCTCGCACTGTTCGACCCAGCTTACCGTCAGTGGCAGTCCGGGATCAAATTCAAGTTTTTTGACTTGCCCACTGCTGCACCTGTCTTGGCAGAATGTCACCTAACCCTGAAGGACAGCCGGTGATGCAGTGAATCTCATGACTTGTTGCTTGCAACTGCCGGAATGCTGCCAGGTGGTTTGTGAACGTGGTTTTTGCCGCTGAGTGTCAGTCTACGTGTTTGTGTGGTGTCTCTCTGCCGCTGAGTGTCTGTGTCGCAGAGCAACCCCAGAAGTTGATCAGCAAGTTTAGTCTGAATTGTAGAAGTTGTGCGTGCTACGACACCACTAGTCACTAGCATCATAGATAATACCACTTCCTTTTATTGCTTTTACCATGGCTGACTACTATTGCTGCTCTTGGTATGAATGATAACGATCCTAACGCTTTTCCGGGCCCAAGAGTTTTGAAGTTGGCCCCGGAATCCGAGTCGAACAGACGCTTGCCCCACCGATGGCCACCTCATCGATGGTCAGTCTGAATGTGACTCTGCTGGACAAGGGCCAGAGCTTAGCCGTGGGCGGCCGTGCATCGTTGGACACCTGTGTTTGGGCTCTTGGGCAACAAGTTGGGATGCTCCCTGGACTTATATACCTGGGTGGTGTACAGATCATTCCAGACGTATGTGTGAGTGTGTGTGTGTGTGTGTGTGTGCGTGCTTCTGGTTGCTTTAAACTTCCTTGTAGATGATACACAGTTCGCTACAGTAGTCGCAGCTGCAGACTTCAGTCGCAGCGGCAGACTTTATTCATGTTGGTGTCTGCGCGCCCAGGTTAAAGTTGACCACCTCGCCCCAGAGCAATTTCGGATACATCTTCAGAAGTTCTGGTGGCATGTGGAAGAGCAACCAACATCCCAACCTGACCTTGGCAGACACAGGAGCAACGAGAACCGGCCACCTGGCAGAGACATTACGTGGTAACGGGGGCAGTATCCCACCACTTTCCGTAGTCGTCCCCCAAGTACTGAGGATACCATATTGGTCTTTTACATCAAAGGATTAGAAAACACCGTAGACTCTACTCCACCATGCTCTGCAATCCCATATGACCACATGTGTACTGCAGCTGGGAACATGCCTGTGTGTCTAAGTCCAACTCGAAGCCCTTACACCTTACACCCCAAGCCTTCATAAGCCCTGTAAGCCCAGGCCCTGAACCCTGTCTTTCTGAAGGTGATTGGGTCCAATTCACGGGCGACTTTGACGCCTTCACTCCTCTGGCCGCTATGAAGCCCTCGGCCCCTCCTACACCTTCCACCGCGCCATCATCACCTCCCACAATTCCTGCGCCACCCCCCCTTGCTCCTGCACTATCCCCAACCTGCCCTAGCTCAATAGAGCTGAGGCTAACCATTGATGCGGTGACCAAGAGTGTAACAAAGATTTGCAGAGCAAGCCTTGACAAGAGCGTTTGGGATTTCGGGAAAGAAGTGGGCACGGCTATGCTGTCCAGTCCAGTTTCCCATGGCTGTGTCTTCAGCCATGCCGGGCAGTATTGGAGAAGCAGCCAGCATCCCAACCTAACCTTTGCCGAAGCGGGAGTGCGCCGCAGTGGCGAATCCGTCACTTTCACGCCAGACTATCAACCTTCGTCCCCCCCGCAATCAAGCCCGGAAGTAGAGGTCACTGTTTGCTTTCTGGGCAAGAGCCGGAGCTGGACCGAAACAGGACGGGCATCACTTGACAAGTGTGTCTGGGCCTTTGGTGCAGAAATGGGCATGCGGAGGTTGACTACGGGGCCGTTATCGAAGTATGGATATGTGTTCAGGTTTGGTGGGAGTGAGTGGAGAAGCAATCGAAATCCCGACTTGACTCTGGCTGATGTTGGGGTGAAGAATGGTGACTCTGTTGACTTCCTTGGCGACTTTGAGCCACCGATTGAAGGAGGCCAACCGATTCCGGTGGTGGAGTTGCATGTCACCCTTACTGGCAAGGACAAGAGTGAAACCACGACCCACAAGACCACACTGGACAAAGGTGTCTGGAGATTCGGTGAGGAGCAAGCTGGGGTCCGCAACCTCATGACCAGTTCGCTGTCCCACTTCGGATACGTCTTCCGCTTTGGGGAGCAGGCTTGGCGCAAGGGCCACCATCCGGGTCTGACCTTGGCTGAGGCAGGCGTGAAGGATGGAGATGCGGTTGAGTTTACAGGAGACTTCGAGCCGCTTTAAGAATCTTCGTGTGTGGTCCAACAAGGGATCTGAGAAATTCCAGGCACTTTGCCTTTCATTTGTTTCCCACGAAGTTGATGCGAGCAACAACTGCTCGTTTTTGTTGACTTCCGTGGAAGACTCCTTAAGCTGAGCGCAGAAACTTGTGAAGCATTTCCGGCGAGCTGCGTTTCCTGCGGGGAACTTTACAAAAGAAGTTGTACAGCGGAAAGATCCTGACAGCTGTCGGCAAGAGATTCGACAGAAGTCGGCCGCAGCCCGCCTGGACATTGACATGGAGACCTGCACTAAGGCGACGACAAGGACACACACAATCAGGGCTCGTGCTGCATTTGCTCGCTTTTGACCCTAAACCCCAAACCCTAAACCCTAAACCCTAAACCCTAAACCCTAAACCCTAAACCCTAAACCCTAAACCCTAAACCCTAAACCCTAAACCCTAAACCCTAAACCCTAAACCCTAAACCCTAAACCCTAAACCCAAAACCCCTAACCCCTAACCCCTAACCCCTAAACCCTAAACCCTAAACCCTAAACCCTAAACCCTAAACCCTAAACCCTAAACCCTAAACCCTAAACCCTACCTTCAACCCAAGGTTCCCCTGCAGCCCGGGCCCACAGTCTCTCTTGTGCCTCCTGGACACACGTAGATCCCATGGCGCTGGTCCAACCCGTGCAGTTCGGAAAGCCCGCGTCGACTGCTTCGCAGGCCTGTGTTTTGGGCCATAAACCCTAAACCCTAAACCCTAAACCTTAAACCCTAAACCCTAAACCCTAAACCCTAAACCCTAAACCCTAAACCCTAAACCCTAAACCCTAAACCCTAAACCCTAAACCCTAAACCCGAAACCCTAAACCTTGAACCCGAAACCCTAAACCCTAAACCCTAAACCCTAAGCCCTAAGCCCTAAACCCTAAACCCTAAACCCTAAACCCTCAGCCGTCAACCCGAACCCTAAACCGTGCAAAGGACCCATTCGGGCCCAAGGTTGTCTTTGCAGGTATTGAGAATCTCTTAGGGTACCTGGGGCTCTGGGTAGAGCGTTTGGGGTGTAGGCCGTGTAGGCTTTCAAGATCGGGTTTTGTGTGCATGTGAGTCTGGGGGGTCTGACTCTCGTGGTTTTTGGGTTGAGTTGCTATACCTTGAGCCTTCAAGAAGCCCTGAACGGTTTCAGGGTCGACATGTGTCTTTAGAGAGTGTGCAGCATGGGTAGTGTAAAAATGTCATCATCAAGTTCTGGCTTCGTAGAGAGAAATGATCTTGCCTTTGGGGAGTTCAAGCTCGTGACCCCCTGACCCAGCTTGTGGGATACCGCTTAGGGCTGAGAAGCGGATTTCGGGTTTCAGGGTTTGGAGAATAGAGGGCTTGAGGATTTGAGGGCTTGACAGATATGTGTGTTAGGGTTTAGGGCTTAGGGGACACAGGGTTTTAGGGTTTAGGGATGTTAAACATTGAGCCCCAGCTACTTCGAAAACCCAACAGGCCCGTCAACTCCAACTCCCCCGCCGTGCCCTTCCACACCCGCTAAACCCTACAAGCCGTCTAAGCCCTATAAGCCAAAACAAGCCCTACGAACCTAAACGCCTAAGCCCTGTACAAGCCTGATAATCCCCAATCCCCCAACGTCTGTAAACCCGCATGTCTCACGACGAAAGATCCCACAAATGGGATCATAACCCTAAAGCCGAAATCCACAAAACTTTACAACCCAAGACCATGGGACCCATACCAGTCTAATATCTTTTCTTAGGTCTCAGCGGGCAACCCTAAACCTTAAACCTAAACCCTAAACCCCAAATCCTAAACCCTAAACCCTAAACCCTAAACCCTAAACCCTAAACCCTTAACCGCAGGGGCGGTCCCAGCTGCTTGCGTCGCCTAAGCCCCGGGCGCCACCGCGCCAATCCAATGGCACCGCAGCCGGGGCTAGGGTTCAGGGTTAGGGTCTAGGGTTTAGGGTTCAGGGTTGAGGGTTATAGGGCTTCGGGGTTCAGGGCATTTTGGGGGCTTAGGGGGGTTTTAGGGGCTTCGGGGGGGGGGGGGGCTTTATCTAGGGGCTTGAAAGGGTGTTCAGGCGGTTTGGTGCTTTGGGGGTTTCTTGAGGGAGTTTAGGGGGTGTAGTGGCTTTCAGAAGTCGCTTGCTTCCGTCGTGTTTCTTTGATCCTGCCATTCCTCATCCCTGACTGAACCCACGTTAGAATTTCCGGTCTGCAGCAAGAGTCCCCACACTTGAAGCCATGTAATCAAACCCCCAGCTGTAATTCCTTGAGCCCTAACCGCACCCCTTGAGACCAAAAGGCCCATTCGAGCATCGCAAAGCTCAAGATCCTGAACCCCCGCCTCCCCCCTTCCCCCAAAACCCGCTGAAGACTTCACTTCTTCGCTTTGGGGTTTAGGGTTTAGGGTTTAGGGTTTAGGGTTTCGGGGCACCCCCTTCCCCCCTGCCACTCGGTTTGCAGGCTTTGCGAGGATGCAGCAGTCCCTGGACGCTTGGACTTACCTTGATCAGGTGTTTGAAATAGAGCTTGTGCAATAAGGGCTTACGGTTTTTTTAGGGCTCAGGGTTCAGGGCTAGGGTAAAAAGGTTCAGGGTTTAGGTTGTTTGCAGATCCAAGCCCTCATTATTCAACCCTAAGCCCTGGGCCCTAAGGCCCCAAACCCCTCTCTGTTGAAAGGTTGCCGCCTGCCTTGCGACATCTCTGTATCGCGGCAAAAGTACGCGAGTTTTCAAGAGGCGGCCGGGCAAAGTATGGGGGGGGGGGGGAGAGGCTGAAAGGATTGCAGGAGGGACGAATATCGGGGCCTTTCAGAAGGGTAAGGTGTAGAAAACGGGACACCTCGGGCCCGAGGAGCCCTGCACCCGAAACCCCCAACCCCTAAACCGAAAACCCAAAGCTTAAATATCAAACCCTGCAGCCCTGAACTTGCCCTACACCCCCTAAACCCTGACGCCACTCTGAATTCCTAAGCCCTGAACCCCAAAGCTTGGGACTGTTTTTGGCCGCCCGCCAGGAGTGTGAGGCATGAGTTCGCAAGCACGCCCCAAGAGACCTACGAGACTTTTGTGGCCGCTTCTGCTGCAGGCTTAGGGTTTTAAGGGTGAGTGAAACGCGAAAACCCTAAACGAACCTGAACTCGAAACCCTACATCCTAGCCGCATGGCCGTTTAGGCCTGAGGGTTTAGGCATCAATGCTTAATGTAGGGCTTATGGGCTGAGAGCTGTCTACGTAGGTGCCGTTTTGTTTTGGCAATCTTTGTCGAATCTTAGTATTTGTATATGCCTGTGTTACATTCATTGTTTCTGTTTATCTAAACGCATAAATAGGTATCTATCTATCTATCTATCTATATCTATATCTATATCTATATCTATATCTATATCTATATCTATATCTATATCTATATCTATATCTATATCTATATCTATATATCTATAGATCCATCTATATATATATATATATGTATATATATATATAAATAAGAACATGCATGTATAAATAAACATATAAATAGAACATTCAAATGCCAGTGCATAAGCAGAAGGCGGCAACCAAAACATCATCCATCTGAAAAAAACTAAACGAAACTCGTAAATAAATACATGTAAATATACACATAAGATGCATATACGTGCAACGTTAAATATACACATAAAATATAAACATGAATATGAAAACATAAATACATGAATACATATATATATATATATACATATAATACTTCTATACATAAACAGTTCGGAAGTCTTGTCCACTCTCTTGAATACAATGCCGGAATGCTTGCACCCCGTAGTGGCTCAGAGAAGTCCAGGGGGCAGCCATTGCGATACTGCGCAGCTACCACTGCCCCCTTAGACCACCTAAACCCGAAACCCTCAGCCCTAAGCCCTAAGCCCTAAACCCTAAACCCTAAACCCTAAAACCTAAACCCTAAACCCTAAACCCTCCGTGACTCCCCTAAAGCCTCAACCCATGACCCCCAATAGCCCTCAGCCGCAGCACCTACGTACTTTGAAGTTGTGCCGCCTCCCCCTCCCCCCTCCCCTCCCCAAGCTTACAATAGCTTCAGACCCTAAGCTAGTTTAGGGTGTAGTGTTTAGGGTTTAGGGTTTGGGGTTTTGGGTTTAGGGTTTAGGGTTTAGGGTTTAGGGTTTAGGGTTTAGGGTTTAGGGTTTAGGGCGCAGCAAAGGCCAAGGCGGAGCACTTAGTCAAGATGTCCCCGCTCCAATCCTTGCATCTTGTTTGCGAGAGGCTTTTGGTTGCTTCTGGGGTTTAGGGTTTAGGGTTTAGGGTTTAGGGTTCAGGTTTAGGGTTTAGGGGTTAGGGGTTAGCGTTTAGGGTTTCGGGTGGCTTCAAGTTTGGCTTGCAGGTGTTAGGGTTCTATGGTTGAGAGTTTAGGGGCTCAGGGCTTTCGGGTTTTAGGGCTCGGGTGTTAGCGTTGTAGGCATGTAGCTCTTGCAATGAACGAGGACTTTGGTCTTTGAAGGACAGTTGTTTGGCGAAGTGTTTTTTTGGTGGTAGCCGAAGTTTGTTTCGGATCAAAGCTGGGGAAGCCCACGGTCCTGAGCTTAAACCCAGCCCGAACCCACAGTTCAGGAACGGTTTAGGGTTTAGGGTTGAGGGTTGAGGGTTTAGGGTTTAGGGTTTTAGGGTTCCTCCCCTCAAAGAACGGGACAACCCCAACGTGGCAGTCGCGCGGTACTGGGCACTAAGTTAAAAAGCATTCTTCCCCAAGTCCTAGCCCTAAGCCCTAAATCCAAAACCCTAAACCACTCAAACTCCTGGAGATCCTAAACCCGAAGCCCTAAACCCTAAACCCTAAACCCTAAACCCTAAACCCTAAACCCTAAACCCTAAACCCTAAACCCGAAACCACTCAAACTTCTCGAGAAGAACCTCCAGGTATGCCTCCGTCCTGGGCGCTGCCTTTGTGGCGGTGGCCAGCGCCAGTGCCCTCAGCTTCTCCGAGGCCGTCGGACCCAACCTTTTGCGCCTTGAATGCGCTTTAGGGTTTAGGGTTTAGGGTTTAGGGTTTAGGGTTTAGGGTTTAGGGCTTAGGGTTTAGGGTTTAGGGTGTCATTTTCGGGTCTATCTCGTCATTACGGTTTTTCTGGGGTAGTTGGTATCAGATAGGTATCCAGTCTGCTTAGTCAGGAAAGGCCTAAGCCGAAGCCCCGAGCCCTACAGCAACCCCGCTCCTAGCTCAAACCCACTCCTTGACGCCAAGAGCTTTGTCATTACACCCCAGCCCCTCGAACAACAGCCGCCCAAGCCCTAAAGCCTAAAGCCTAAACCCTAAACCCTAGACCCTAAACCCTAAACCCTCAACCCTAGACCCTAAGCCTTAAACCCTAAGCCCTTAAGCCCGTAAGCCCCAAACTCCAAACTCCCCACGCCCTATGCCCCAAAACCTTTGGACCGCCTCCCGAGGCTGGACAAGTTGGTCTTTGCGGTGGTTTTGCCTGTGCCCGGGCAGGGTTTAGGGTTTAGGGTTTAGGGTTTAGGGTTTAGGGTTTAGGGTTTAGGGTTTAGGGTTTAGGGTTTAGGGTTTAGGGTTTAGGGTCTAGGGTGTAGGGTTTAGGGTTTAGGGTTCTGGTTTTAGGGTTTAGGGTTTAGGGTTTAGGTTCAGGGTTCAGGGTTCAGTGGCGGCTTCGGGACTTTTAGGGTGCATGGGTTCGAAGTTTACAAATCCCTAAGCCGCCCTAAACCCCCTGAATGATCCCCCCCCCCCCCACCCCTCCCTCAAACCACCCCTAGGCTTTGAATCTAGACTTACGGGTTCCTGTGCTCTCTCTCCTCTCTCTCTCTATATATCTTTATATTCACACGCATTTGTTACATATATATATAATATATATATATATCATATCATATACACATTTTTTATGTCTCTCTCTCTCTCTCTTTCTCTTGCTGCCTGTGTGGTTGTGCACACAGATATGTTTATACATGCACATCTTCTGCAGAACCCTAAGCCCCAATTCCGAGCTCCTGCAGGTTCACCTGCTTCTGTGCCAGCTGTGCGGAGGGCTGCTCGGCTCAGCCATCGCTGTCCCAGGGGCCTGAACCCTAACCCTAAACCCTAAACCTTAAACCCTAAACCCTAAACCCTAAACCCTAAACCCTAAAGCCTACACCCTAGACCTTAGACCCTAAACCCCAAACCCCAAACCCTAAACCCACGTCAGGGTTTGGTGGGTTAGGAGCTTTGTAGGGTGGAGGGTCTAGGAATCCCACAGAATTTGCTCTCAAGACCTGAGCCTTGAGCATCCGAGACCACCTTTTTTGTTTCTTTTGGGGGGGGCGGGTTTGACCCTAAACCCTAAACCCGAAACCCGAAACCCTAAACCCTAAACCCTAAACCCTAAACCCTTTGGGGGCTTAGGGCTTGGCAGGCTTTTTTTGGTCTTTTTCCGCCTCTCCCAGAGGCAGCTCACGACCAGCAACTGCTCCATGTTGAGCATCGGCGTCCTGCAGGGGAAGGCAGATCCAGGGTTTGCGGGAGTCTCAAGGTGCTCACGGAGTAGGGCTTTAAGGGTTTGTGGAGATGCTTAGGAATTTGGGGTAGGGGCTTTAGGGTTCGAGGGCCCTATTCGGGTTTATTCGGGTTTTGAGCATTTAGGGTTTAGGGTTGAGGTGTTTCTGACTTGGGACATGGGCCTGAACCCTAAACCCTAAACCCTAAACCCTAAACCCTAAACCCTGAACCCTAAACCCTAAACCCTGAGCCCTAAACCCTAAACCCTAAACCCCAAACCCTAAACCTGCAGGTGAGCATCAAAGACGCGGTGAGGAATGTTGGGATCGTCCTTGCCGGAAATGCCATCGGCGCCTCGGCTTTGGGCTTTAGGTTCTTTTGGCTTACAAGGTTTGGAGCTTAGGTTGTTCTTTGGCTTCGGGTTTGGGGCTTCTAGGGGTTTAGAGTTTAGGGTTTAGGGTTTAGGGTTAGGGCGGATACATCGTACATGATGTGCTTTGCAATGGAGCCATACACCCTACAACCCCCCCCAGAACTCCCTGGACCTGAACCCTCAAGCCCGCACTTGAAAAATACTGACTTCATTCATAAGTACCCATGATTCTTCAAATTGACTTCTAAACCCTAAGTAAGCCCTAAACCCCAAACCCGAAACCCTAAACCCTAAACCCCAAACCCCTAAACCCTAAACCCTAAACCCTAAACCCCAAAGCACCCTAAGCCTCAGCCTGAGGAGTGGGCCTGATACTGGGCACCGTCTGGTATCTCCAGGTCTTGGATCAGTCGTCTCTGGCCGTGGCGGCCCTGATGGCCAAGAGTAAGCGCCTGGGACTGGTGGGTTTAGGGTTTAGGGTTTAGGGTTTAGGGTTTAGGGTCTTAGGGTTTAGGGTTTTAGGGTTTAGGGTTTTAGGGTTTAGGGTTTAGGGTTTAGGGTTTAGTGTTTAGGGGGTTTCAAGAAATGGGGCGGTTGTCCAAAATATCCTGTGGGGTTTAGGCTTTAGGGTTAAGGGTGGTGTATTTCCTGAATGTAAGACCATCATGTCCACCCAGAGCCTCTCATCTTGAACAGGCTTTCGGGTTTAGGGTTTCGGGTTTAGGGATCTTGAAGCGGAGCAAGCATCGCAAACACAAGCTCTTGAAGCCCAAAACCCCCAGCCCTAAACCACGAAGATGGTGTGACAAGGTGCGCGTACACCTTTGGCCAGACGTTTGTAAAGGCTTTCCTTTGCAACTGGATGGTCTTCGTGGCTTACTGGCTGGGCGTGGCTTGGAAGGGTTTATGGGTCTCATAGAGTTAAGGGTTTGCAAGACTAGGGTTTAGGGTGTAGGGTAGGTTTCTGGGGCCTAGAGGATTTACGAGGAGTTCTGGGCAGTTCGTAATCAGCAATTATGGAACAAGTTACTATATTTTAGGGACCCAAACTCCCACATTCCCTACCAAGAGCCACTAAGCTTGGATGTGTAGAAGCTTGCTCTTACGGCTGTGGGCTCTGCTCACCTGCCTACAGCACATTAAAGCCCGAAGCGAAGGAATGGAAGACTTAGGCTGTGACCTGCCCACGACCCCAACTCGATTCAAGAACCTCCGATGCTATCACGAAGCAGAATCAGATTGCAGCGTGCACTGTGCAGAACAGCCGGCCCAGTGATGAGTAACGCAGAGAATTGATGCCGAAAAGCGCATCTTTCAAGGGTCGAAGCGGCCGAGGCGGACTAGGCAGGACCTAACGCGTCGACTGCCTCGAGAGAGGGGTTTTAAGGTTGAAGGTTTCGGCTTGGAGGAGGATTTGCCTACGAACTCATTGGATGTGACCTTTCGACTACTGTGTGCAATTCTGAGGTCATGTCAAAGGATATCAAGGGCTTCTTAACGCTAAGAGGCCCTAAATGTTCTGAGGTCATGTCAAAGGATATCAAGGGCAAGATGACGGGCATTTGGACCGGCGTCTTCCTGTACGCCGCTGTGGGGTTCGAACACATCGCCTCTCGCTCAGTTTTTGTGCAGATGCTGTCCATGCCGAAGCGGAATTTTAAGGGCTTAAGGGTTTAAGGATTCAAGGGTTGAAGGGTTTAAGGATTCAAGGGTTTGAGGATTCAAGGGTTTAAGGATTTAAGGGCTTAAGGGTTTAAGGATTTATGGGATTCAAGGGCTTACAGGCTTAAGAAGCTGACAGTCAGCTTAGACCGGTCTGCAGCTTGTGCACGGTGGCCGGATGTACATACGCCCCCCAGGTGACGAACATGTTCCTCCTGCCAGCGGCGCTCATGGCCGGTACCCACTTGACGTTGGCGGATATGCTTGTGAAGAACATCATCCCCGTCTTGTTGGGAAACGTGATGGGCTTAGCTTCAGCTTTTTTGCACCTATTCCTACCATTTCTTGGCAGGGAATGTGGGAACATGGTATCCCCATGCAGTCCCTTTATCAGGGGGTAAGATAGGGGGATACATGGCGCCCCTGTCCTTGCTGAGAACCAGTAAGTTCATGTTGCCGGCTTGCCATCCGGCACCTCCTAAGTGCTTCAAAGCCTGTCAGAGGAGGAGAGTCCTCTTCTCGAACTGCAGACCCTAAACCCTCCCAAACCCCCTCCCCGCTAAACCCCCCCCAAACCCGCCTTAGCCCCCTTAAACCCGAAACCCGAAACCCTGGACCCTGGACCCTGGACCCTAAACCCTAAACCCTAAACCCTAAACCCTAAACCCCAAACCCTAAACCCTAAACCCGAAACCCGAAACCCTAAACCCTAAACCCTAAACCCTAAACCTGAACCCTGAACCCTGAACCCTGAACCCTAAACCCTAAACCCTAAACCCTAACCCTAAACCTTAGAGCCGAGGCAGCAGCTTCGATCATGGTGGCCGGCGGTTCTTTCGGCTTTGCCTTTGGGCACTCTGGCCTGGTGTAGGAAGCGCAGGGTTTAGGGTTTAGGGTTTAGGGTTTAGGGTTTAGGGTTTAGGGTTTAGGGTTCAGGGTTTAGGGTTGAGGGTGTAGGGTTTAGGGTTTAGGCCCAGAAGCCTTCAACCCCAAACCTGAAGCCCAAAATCCTGTAAACCCTAAGCCCTACACAATGTTAGGGCTCAGGGCTTCGGGCTGACCAGCCCGAATCCTCGAACCCTGCGCGAGCTGATGATGATTCGGGTTTAGTTTAGGGTTTAGGGTTTAGGGTCTAGGGTTTGGGGTTTAGGGTTCAGGGAATCAGTCCTGCAAGATGGTCGCCAGGCTGCATGGTCAAGAGAATTTCGGCTTGAGGCGTGAAGCCTCAAGCCCCTCAAGCCGTGAACCCGAAACCCTCAAGCCCTAAATGCCTTTAGACCCCCAAAAACCGCCGAACCCCCAAACCCACCCTGTTTTGAGGCAGCTCCTCAAGAAGTTGAAGGTTCAGCCGCTGAAGATGCTGAATGCGCAGGTGCAAATGCTTCCCCAAAGCCCCGAGGTCAATTTTGCGCGGTGGTGCAGAGTTTAGGGTTCGGGGTTTTGGGTCAGGGTTTTTCCATATACCCTAAACCCTAAACCCTAAACCCTAAAAGGGCCGTGTTCAGGGGTTCTGAACCCTCAAGCCATCGCGTATTCTGACCGGGAGTGGCATCTTGCCATCACCAAACATCTAGGGTTTAGGGTTTAATTTTAGGGTTTAGGGTTTAGGGTTTAGGGCCATGCGCCATCTGCCGGCACGTTCCAGTCGCCAAGTCCTTGGAGGACTGAAAAGACTCCCCAAACATCCCAGGGAACCCTCAACCGCAAACCCCAGAACCTAAAATGATCACGGGCCGAGGTCTATGTAATTCAATATTTAGAGGAATCCCAGCCTCGGGTCACCCTGAACCCTAAGCCACTGAGTCCCAACTTTTTTTTTTAATTTAGGGTTTAGGGTTTAGGGTTTAGGGTTTAGGGTTTAGGGTTTAGGGTTTAGGGTTTAGGGTTTAGGGTTTAGGGTTTAGGGCCCCAGAGAGAAAGCCATGTATTCGTACAGCTGAGGCCCGGACCCTGAAAGCACCAGGGTAAGGTGGTTGGGAAGTGTACTTCACACTTCTCTGCTTCGGCTTCATATCAGATCATCCTTGAGCCTTCAAGCACTGAGCCCGTAAAACCCAAAAGGCTCTAAACCCCTTAAGCCCTAAGCACTCGAATCCCGAAAACCCTAATCCTAAATCCTAAGCCCTAAACCACAGAAACCCTGAAACCCTGAAACCCTGAAACCCTGAAACCCTGAAACCCTAAACCCTAAACCCTAACCCCTGAACTCTCTTTCAGGTGCACGCACCTGCGGTCCGTTGGATGTCACCCTCCGGCGCTCCGATGCCAGCGATGCTGGCAACACCCTAGGCGCCCGACTTGAGGTTTAGGGTTTAGGGTTTAAGGTTTGGGGTTTAGGGTTTAGGGTTTAGGGTTTAAGGTTTAGGGTTTAGGGTTTAGGGTGTAGCTCAGGTCGTGTGCTGGTAAGCGCGTAGCAGTATGCAGACATGCCCACTCCAAGACCACCCAAACACGACTCAAACCGGAGCCAGCCGAACAAACCCTAAACCCTAAACAAACCCTAAACCCTAACCCTAAACCCTAAACCCTAACCCTAAACCCTAAACCCTAACCCTAAACCCTAAACCCTGAACCCTAAACCCTAAACCGAGCCAGCCAAGCCGATTTTACATACCTCCGCAGAAGACACTGTGCTTCGGGCTTGGAAGCTTCCGGGAGAGAACTTAGGCTTTGCGGAGCGGGACGTCTTCGCCCTGTCACTGCTCGCTCATCGCAAGGTGAAGTCATAAAGCCAGAAGCATCCGAGCGAAATTTTAAGCTTCGCGGTGGGGGACCTCCGAATTTGTAGGTTTCGCGCATGGAAACGTTTTCGCTGGAGTTTTTTTTCCCATTGTTTCTCTCATCGACCCCGAATTGCCCAGGTGCATGGCGAAAACAGGTTGCCACAAAGAGGTTTTGCTTTGCACGGGATACTGAAAGCGTCGATTCAGGTTCTGCGCAGGGGGACTGTCGAGGCGACCACAACACCCCCGAAACACGAAGAGCACCGAAGCAAGAAGACTCGACTCCTACCCATGGGCAGCTCTCTAGATTTGTGGTTCCTTTTGGGTTTAGGGTTTAGGGTTTAGGGTTTAGGGTTTAGGGCACCCTCTCTAGATTGTGGTTCCTTTTGGGTACCTCTAAGATTAGGCTTCCGATCATGATGGGAACTCTCAAAGGCCACAGTTCAACGAACTCTCGGAATCAAACGGAGCTTGAACCCCCCCCCTACAACCCACCCCACATATGAACAGTACCAATAATATGAACAATATGACTAATATGAATAATGTCATTCATATGGGTCATGCCAAGAGTAGCACAACACGAGGCTTCGAGCACTTAAAGTTCTCCAAATGAGCCGCCGGGAATTTGAGATCGAGCCCAAGGCCACAACAACTTTTTAAGCTGTCGAGGCAGTCAATGTGCTTGTTCCCGAAGCACAAGAGAGAGGCAATTTTTCCGGGCTTCTGCGCTAACAAGCGCATTTGAACAGTGTGGGTCCTCGCAAGCTGGGCCACCCCGTGAGGCGTGTGGCTGGCAGCCGACGCCCGGCAAAACTGTCCAAGCCACGCGTTTTCTTGCGGGTCCACGGCTTGTGCTGGATTCTGCATACACGGAAACAGCAGAAGAGCAGTGAGAGCTTTCCATGCTGTTGGAGTTCCGTCCTGTTTTCCCAATTTCCAGCATACAGCTGGACAAGGTTCAGCTTCCCAGGGCCTCTTGCGCCTACATCTGAAACCTCCTGTAAGTCGGATGTTTTTTGGGGTTTTAGGGGGCGCATGGGGCCCGCTTAGCTGCAGAGCATCACGAGCTTTGGCAAGGCATAGTTGCTGGCACGTCTAAAGCCACTGTGCTTTAGAGCAGTCCGGCGATTGACATCTGAATTCGCGGATTTTGAGCTTTGAGCCGCCCGGCGAGAAGCCATGACATCACATGTATGTTCGCAATCTTCCTGAAAATTCGGCACCCGTGTGCAAGGTAGTGGGACAACCAACTGCTCACCTGCCGGAAAGCACCGCAGGCATTCAGCTGCGCGCCTCTGCATCAAAATCAAACCCCACTTCACTTCCCCCCAAGACAGAAGAAGCTAACTTAGAACTTTATGGTGCCCTTAGACCCTTAAATCTACCCCCCAAAAACGGCTTAAAGCTCTAAATCAGATAGGTATGGGTGTTTGGGGCGCCGCTGCCCTATGATGAGGCCCTCAACCCCAAGCTTCAACCCAAAACCCTACATTCCAGGGTCCAGGGTCTAGGGTTTAGGATCCTCCCTTGAGCCTGTACTTGCGTGGTCGACGCAGAACCTTCGAAGTAGCTTCCAGCTCGCTATACACGGGCCGAATCAGAGCTTGATTACATCTAAGCGGGTTAGTAGGGGGTTGCGGTTTTAGCGAGTCCTCTGACATAGACCAAACTTAGGGTTGAGGGTTTTGGGTTCAGGGTTGCTTATTGGTTCTTAGTGGACCACCAGTAGAGTCGAGGTCCCTATGACGTAAACCTTGGCTGCGAAGGCCTGCGCGCAGACGCAGGCGCAAGAATGTCTGAACGTCGAAGAACGCTAGGGCTTAGGATGCAAGCTTGCCTCGATCCATTTCAAGGGTTTCGGGTTCGTTTCCTTTTGCAGGGTTTTGGTTTCAGTGTTTAGCTATGAAAGCCTCACATTCTAGGCCTAGAGCAGCGTGACGTGAGGCCGGCGGATGGGACCTTTGGCTCGAGACTGCAGGAAACTGATCGAGTCTGCCAGCAACTTCCGTGCCGGATCTCCGCTCCCCGGCGATGCAGACCAACGCGCCCGGCCCAGATCGGTCAACCCAAAACCCTTGAGGGTTTCGGGTTTAGGGTTTAGGGTTTAAGGGTTTAAGGGTTTAGGGTTGAGGGTTTAGGGTTGAGGGTTTTTCGGGGAAACCCTAAGCCCTCAACCCTCAGCCCTAAAGCCTGCATGGGCGTATTTTTTTGGCTGAGGTTCCCCAGTTCCTCATGCCCAGGGCCCCTCGCGCCGTGGCCTTAGCAAGACCGTGGGCTGCACGGGGTTTTCGTGGACTTGTGGTGGCTTAGGGTTTTGGGTTGGGGGGTTTAGGGTGTAGGGTTTAGGGTGTAGGGTTTTGGGTTGGGGGTTTAGGGTGTAGGGTTTAGGGTGTAGGGTTTAAGGTTTATCAGGATTTATTGTGCTGAGAGGGGCTCATGGGGACTTACTTGATCCCCGCAACCTACTCCCTTCATGCTGATGGACCCTCAAAGACAATCTTGTGTCTCTCAGCAGGAGAGTCTTGTGGCCCGAGGGGTTGGAAGGAGCAATATCTAAAGGAGGGAAAGATAGCGCAGCAGACAGAGCGACAGCAAGAACGAATGACAAAATGAGAACAACGCCGAAGAAATAAATGGAAGACTGAAGCTGAAAGAACTGACATAAGTACATAAAGAAAGAAATACAGACACAGCGAACCTATGAAAAGTCAGAATAAAGAAAAACGTATGAAAGTAAAGAAAGAAATACAGAAAGAGTTTGGGAGAGAGAGAGAGAGATAACTCTGCAGAAGAAGAAGAAGACGAATAATAATAATAATAATAATAACAAAAATAACAAGAAGATGAAGATGAATATGAAGATGAAGATGAAGATGAAAATGAAGAAACATATTAATAAGAAACAGAAGAAGGAGAGAGCAAGAGAGAGAGAGAGAGAGAGAGAGAGAGAGAGAGAAGGAGAGAGAGAGTGAAAGAAAGAGAGAGTGGGAGAGGGAGAGAACAACAAGCAAAACCACAAACGAGAAAGCGAAGAGGATTTTCCAAGATGTCCTTGGGTTTCTTCGGGATTCCCCAAGACTTTCTAGGATTTTGAGAGGGTGTCTCCGGAACCGCCGGGATCTCCTGAGATTTCCTCCGCTTTCTGAGGATGTTCTTGGGTTTCTTAGGATTTCCGTGTCCGGAGCACAAGGAAAGCCGCATGCATGCTTGCCTCACAGAGCATCATCCGGTCCGTCACTCTGTTGCTTCAGGGTTTAGGGTTTAGGGTTCAGGGTTTACGAAGTGGGGGGGGGGGGAGTTGCACGTAAACTAACCTCCCCTGCTTCTCAATGCCACGCATGCCTTGCAAAGGTGGGCTTTCAGGCTCCTGGACAAGCACTGCCACTGCAGGCCAGGGTTTGGGGGGCTCGGGGGGGTTGAGGGGGTTTCGGGGCGGTGGGGGGTTTGCAAATTTAGGGGCTTAGCGTTCAGCTCCTGTTTAAGTTTCCTCCAGACTGGGGCGGAAATTTTGGACTGAGATGTTCGGTGATGTGCCCGAATCTTTACGGCTCATACATGGATTCCGGCAGATAGTACGGCTGGGCATCTTGGCACCAACCACATGGCCATCTGGTCTTTGGTGCAGTGTTCGGGCCAACCTCCACTTTTGAGACCCTAGAGTCAAACCAGAAACTCCTCGAAGCTTTCCCCCGCGGCCTGAACCCTGAACAGCTTCCATAAACCCCAAACCCCAAACCCCAAACCCTTCAGGCAGGGTGCAGCCTGATTTTTTTCACACAGCTCAACCCGGAGACTAGGATCTCTCAGCGAGACTAGGAAAAGATCTTCCTTGAGACCTAATTGTACTCTAGATTCCGTATCCGGGCCTCAGGGCCTGGAAGCCTTGGGTCGTCTTGGTTCCGGGGCGCTCGTGATCACACCGAGGGGGCTTTGAAGTGGGCAGGTGCGAGCAATGCAGGCGTCACCGCCTATGCAGCGCCAGCGCTCAGATTCCCCATCATGAACCCTCAGTAACTGAGTAACTGGTATCCCCCATAACGGCCTTTACATGCATTGTTCCTATAAGGACAACATGTTTTAGTGGGCACCAGGTGCCCGGGGTCCGTGGGGAGTCCAAGATGGTGCGTGCTTGAGGTTTGGGAAGCAGACTGTTGGACTCTGACAGTGCAAATAGTGGAATGCCTAAACCCTAAGGCCCTAAAGCCTGAACCCACTGAGGATCTACGTGTACCACCCTGCGCCGCTGCCTCTGATGGCCCCTCATGCTGTCAGCCTTGCAAGTTTAGACCAACTGGGCATTTCAAGTGGTGCTGCCGCAAAATTTTCCCAAAAGACTCTGATCCTTCGAAAAGGACCCTCCTCTCTCCAATACAACCCGAAGCCCCAAACCCCAAACCCTAAACCCCCAAAGCTGTTCATGCAGAGGCCAGCAGCAGGGTTGGGGCGGGCACAACCTGTTTCTGTGGTGCCGATCGCGACTTCAGGGTTTCGGGTTTGTAGGGTCTTGCAAGCACAGATCCTTTGAGCCAGGCCAACGTGCAATGGGGGCCTATCCCTGCCGGG